GGTATTTTAAAATGACATGTACTGTAGTAGATGTTTCCATGAGAAATAAATTATAGTAGGCAACAGATAACTACCTCATTCTAAGTCAAAGCTGACTTGTGTTTGCATGCAACTGGTTTCTCCCAATTATTCAAAGTAATAGAACTGTTGTTGGATAGTATTCTACATCCATTTCTGATTACCCATAGATATGGTTTACTGTTTAATTTATTAATTTTTAAATAAAATTTTAAAACCCAAAACAGCAGTTGAAAACTGTTTGATGAATCAAAACTGTGATTTTGATGTTAATGGTGCGAATGAATATTATAATTTCAAAATGACCTGAGCACTGCAGTGTTCAATCAACAACAGCCTGGCACATTGAGGAAGGTACAAAACAACATCCCAGATAGCAAATCACAACCTCTCATTTTAATTTGACCCTCCATATATAAATTCTCACCTCTACCAACAACAAAGAAATCACTGACTATGCAAAATACATTTTTAACTGCTTTAACCGCAGAGATATTACACTGAAAAAACCACCAGCTGTTCCAAAATAATCATGTATTTTTTTTTACTTTTGTTCTGTTTTACTTATTGATCTAATTTTCTAATTGTTTACTTTATTTTGTTACTTTTTTAGGTAGCTGTTGCTTATTTAAACAACATCAATAAAGTTATCTACTTACTTACTTACTTTGCTCTATTAGAAGCGCATCTCAAATAGAAGCGCATGAAAACTTGCATTTATAGTGTACTTAATCATTAAAATACGACTAACTTTCCTATAAAAATACACCCCCGCCTTGTACATGAAGCACATGTTATAGAAAACATGGTATTTACAAAATTCAACCCACAACTATTAGTTGGGCACATTGTTTTAAATATTGAGCTCAGTACAACCATATTAACACAATTACAGGTGCCCGGTACTTGTTAAAATTCTAATTACATTGTTTCTGCAATAATCTGAAGATGAAAAAAACAGCACGTTAGTTTGGACTGTTTTCACTGGAGGTACATTGTATCTTCAAATCTTCAAGTTGGTTAAAAGCAACTCACCTTGCAGTTGGAGAAACTGGTTCGTCTCGACCTAAATCAAGAATTCTAAGTGTATTTGGTGTTATCACCCCGGCTCTACTGTCTTGTGCCATATCCACCATCAAATTCACGAATCGATTAAAACAACCATTATAAATACAGTTTGGGAACGTTAAATTGGAGCTTCTATATATTCAAAGGACTTCAACCAGGCTCGACACGACGATCGATAGATCTTTTAAGGAAATCGCTCAAAGAAAAAATAAAAAATATAATGCTACAACTGCATCGGCGACTAATAAAACAGCAAGCTGTCGGAATCACTATATACAGCACGCACGAAGTCTGTATTTACCACAGGTTGAGTTGTTGCCATCCAAGAGTACAACTTTGTTGTCACTTGCGATAGCTTTCCGCCATTTTAAAAACTAAATTCATTTATTCACTCGCCGTAGAGGGCAGAACTCAAACTCACGAGAAGTGCGAGAAGTGTTTACAGTGAGGTTGCTTGGCAACAATGTCAGAGGGAGAAATATTAATAGTACTGTCAGTAAAATAATATTGATAATATTACTACTACTAGAGATGTAAGATAAGATAAGATATTTATTTGGAACAAAATTATGTATACAACGCCCTGCGATCCTGCTGTAAAAATGGAAGTTAGAAATTAACATTACTAAATCAAAATTAATAATATTCAATAAACCAGGTAAACGTCTAACCAAATTTAAATTTTATATCAACAATGAAGAGTAACTTCTTATCTTGGGTTTAACTTAAATATAACAGGTACATTAGATAGAGCACAACTAGACCTGAAAAACAAGGCTTGATTCAAATATTAGATGAATTAAAATGTAATGTCTGGAAAAACCATGACACAGTGAACACAGTGAAGCCTGAAACGTAAAAGCCTACTCATAAATTAAAAAAAAAAAAAATTTTTCATTTTGCAATAAATTGTACTCCAAGGCAATATAAGGATATTGACCTAAAAAAAGTTGGGGGTCACCTGCCCCTTTTTTGAGAAATTGATGATTGTATTTTTAAAAGTGGAAAGTCGCCATTTTGACACTATTATAACACGTTTACCACAGGTTCCTATGGCAGAGATATTATGCAATATCTCAAAGTCTAGCCCGGTGACATAGGCTGAAAAAATCATATATTGTTAATGATGAAGTACTTTTTGAATTATTTAAAAACTCTGGGTTTTAAAAGTGTCAAAAAATGCAATTTTTTTAACATTGTGTTCTATGGAATTGTTCTAAAAATATCAATTTTCATGAAATATTAGGACATGTTTCTCAAAAAGCATTACTGTGACACACAAAATAATGCTATTTCATTGTACCATGGGACATTAGCTTCATGTTTGTACATTATAAACTAATGAACATTGTCATGCGATTTATGACCAATTTTGTCAACAATTATGACTAGGCTTCTACCTTAATAAAAGGCGTTTGTGAAAAACTTGAAATACAATGTCGGAAAAGATGTAAGAAATTTATGCACAACGACGACAAAGACACAAACCATGAAATAAACTGAGAACTTACAGAAAATTAAAAAACAGATTTTTCACTAGAAAAATACTTGCGAATAATAAAAACCCACTATTATATCGCTCTGCAATGACCAAACTGAGGATAAGTGCCCATCGCTTACATATTTTGTTCTCATGTCAGTTATACGCTAAAGAATACGAAAGTTTGTTAAAAAAAACACAACATTATTCATGACAACAAAAACAATGAATATTTATTAATTAATATTTAAATAATAAAGATGAAAACATTATAAACGATGTGGCGAACCACATCTATAACTGTTTTAATATACGAGAAAATTCAATTAAAATAAAATGCTTAAACCAGCTGCTTCATAAAAAAATTAACCATTTTTCTATGTTTAGAAGTTTGAGCGTCTTGTTGGATTTTTTTCCTGTATTGTTAGTGTTTTTTATATGTTTTCAGAATGTATTACTTTATTGTATTTTTCATCAAAACCTCAAATATGGGGTATGATAGCAATACAAATTCTTTTCTATACAATGAGAGGCAAATTGCAACATCTCAGTCCAGGAAACTCACAAAACATCGATGTATATATGCATTATATGCATTTTTTAAATAATTCAGTTGTAGTGTTTAAAGATTTCACGTATGAACTTTCCTAAACAACCGGCAATGAAACCATCTTCATGAGAAATGTAAACAATATGCCTAACATCGTCAGTGTAAACTTTATTAATTGTATTAATATTCAAATTACAACTTTGTAATAATTTTGAATTACGTTGAAGATGGTGCTTCTTGGATGGATTTATATTCTGGGTGATATTTCGAGCAAAGGAATTACATTATTGAAATGATGAATTGTGAATCATATGAACGCAGCACGGTTAGTAACCGTAGACGCAACACATTATTATTAATTATCTTAAAAGTTGAATGGGGCTGTGAGCTAAGGGTGTCTGCAAATATATTGTAGCGACCTAGAACAAGCTCGTATTACATAGAACGAACCAGAGCTACGTTTTAAACGATCCGGAACGAATCCAACGCTGGCTAAAGACGTATTCTGACGTCACTGTGGTATTTGTACTCCAGCGGTTCTATTACAAAGGTCTGCATTTGATTCCAGATGTGATCACATGGCCAGCCAAAATATGGGACAGTGCGTATAACTGGATTTTTGAAATGATGATAAGTACGTGGGTGGTATGCGAGCATATTTTTATCACAATGATCGTTGAATAGTTTTGCTGTATGATTTGTGAATTGTCATGCAAGAATAAAATGTTTTGAATCCCGTATTACATGTTTATCATCTTATATCATAGTGTTGTTACATTACAATAATCGTATTCTGACTCGAGATACAAATTTGCATATTTCTTGAGTGTGCGCAGAATAGTTTGTCTGGTCTTGAGGACAACATCATTTTCTAGATAATTCACACCACTAACGGGTACAGGTGTGTGCCTGCAAACGAGAACAGATATTTATGACAAACGGACCGTGAGATGCAGACCATCTTCACCTATGAACTAAACATAGCACCAAATTATTTTTATAGACGGAAGTTTAAAAATAGAAAAGTTAGTTTTGACTTAATATTACGAGTATAACTTTTGTAAAAAAATTGTAATAAAACTCAATTATAGATATATATAGATGCAATGCAAGATTGTTTGCTACGTATGATTAAATGCACAATATCAAATTTAACTTTTAATTATTAAGAAATTAACAAATAAATAAATTAAAAATAATAAATTACAATAATATAAATATCTAAAGGATACGTGAGACTCGCAGTTACTGGAAGGGGGGGTCATAGATTTGATGAATTTCCAATGTATAAATTCTGGATGGCTGACTTTCCTGACGATAGTCCTGGTGTGGAGTGAGTAACCATGATGTAAACTTAAGATGTGCCGAGTTGTGTAAAATGTATAGTCTTGATTTCTAATAAGAGTGAATTGGTGCAGGGGGACTCAGAATGAAGTCAATAAGACAAACAGTGAAATAAGTGGTACAATGGAGCATTAGTGCATCTCATATTGGAATGAGTATCAGCGTACTATGTGAAAAAATGGATAACTGCAGAAGAACTTGTGAATCTAACTGATGGTACTCCAGTTTTAGAGGCTAAACTTGGACTAACAATGAAGTATATAGTTCTAGACAGTCTAAACCTGGTTACCATTATTCTCAATGAATTGAGCAGTTTATGTAGGATCATTTTGTAATCTGTGTGTATTAGAATAGAATTTATTAGGAACCGATGTGTGAAAGGACTTTCTCCTAGAGATTGTGATTCCTGTGCAATATGAGCCTGAGGGACACCACTAGTCATGTTACGCATTCCGTGACAGTGTTAAAACAACTTGACGTTTTGACAACAAGAGAGTATGGGATTGAGTGCCCACCGGGTGATTATCAGGAGAACAACTGAAACGCCACTTTCAAGATCATGGAACAGTATACATCAAAGACAGACAAATAATTACCGAATTGTCAGTATCTTTGTGTTGCGCTAAATATACAAGTGATATTTCCAAGCTTAAAATAACAGAGTTAATGTTAACATTGTTACTGAAATGTGTAAGAAAGACAAAATTGAAATTAAAAATTGTCATTACTATCAGTTATAACAATTCTTCAAGTGACAATGATGTTGAAAAAACAAAAGTTTTTGTGATGATGAAGATCAAGAATTTGAACAATCAGTGAGAAAGGTGACAGCATTGAAAACGAAGGTGAATGTATTATCTGTAGCCAGGAGATCATCGTATTAAAAGAATACCAATAACAATGACAGTGAATCAGACACTGAACTAAAAGTTACAACATGGAGAAAACGTACAAATATATTGGAAAAATCACAATTGCGAAAACGACGTTTATGAATAGCTATTGTGTTCAATATTTCTTGGCGGTCACCACAATCTAGAATTGAGCGGGTGATGCCTCATAGCACATTCTATTTTTTGTATTTTGTTTTATTTTTGTATTTGTAATATTAGTGTTCACGCTACACGTTAAGCTAATCTCGTGTTTGCATATCGGACGGGAAGGAACAGTCGTTAGCACGGCCTAAGAACGCCAACATTTGTTTGAAAATACAATATTCTTCAGTCATTTTAACTACGAATGTATACATGATAGTTCTACGATTATAAAACAATACCAAAGCAATTCAGAAAATGCAGAATACAGTTTACCGGAAGTAGCACAGAGTACTAGTATCATCGTCAGTTTATTTTTTCTCGAGAACAATCTCTCTATGTGTCTTCGCGTTGTCATGTCGGAAATGGCATACCGAAATAAATAGTAAATCTTCCAAAATTATGGACATTGAATACACTGACGTGTTGGCTAAGCTAACCCTTCACGCACACTTTCTGAGCCTGCACTAAGAATTCGGGGGGCCGGGGCACGCCCCCTTTAAAATGTTGAAATCTAGACCCTTTGAAGGGCAAATTTTGCTGCCGCCGCCACTGGGGCCACATTTAATTCGTACTTAGCATTTCTTAGCCCGAGCTCAGCGTTCACGTACGTTTTCTTAGCACGGGCTAAGAAGCTGTGCATGAGCGCCACATATGTATAGAAAACTCTCGTTTAGAACAATTTCTAGATACATTACAAATGTGGGTAATTGGTGATTTGGTAGGTATTAAAAAACACAGTGAGAGGGTACTTAAAATTGCTCATTAGAGCATATGGGTTTTGAGAACAAAACTTTCAAATAAGAATCCTCCGCCCCTTCACACTTTAATTAATGGGTGTTC